AATTAGCCTGGTCTTTGGCCTGCAATCCATGCTGACAAAGATTCAGGATTTCGAGTCTATAAAATATATTTGAACATATTATCTACTTTATGTTTAAATCAATCAAACAAAAATAACTTACTTGAATTAATATTGTTCCTGGACCTGTAAATCGACAAACAAGACCTTCCTTTGCATGCATTCCACTGATAAAACCACCACCGGATCTTTCAATTATATATGAACAGGTCCATGCTACCAAATGTCCATTATCAACAATCCATTGTTCTCCTTCTTTCAAATTTCGTTGCACTATCGCACCAAGGGATGTAACAAAAAAAATACCTACACCTGATATTCTATTGATGAAGAAACCTTCACCTGAAAACAATCCTTTGCCTAATCCTTGAGATTTCGTATCTTTTACTACACCATCGGTCATTGCCAAAAACCCACCTTTACCAACATTCCATTCAGTACTACCATCTAATTGAATAGGTAGTATATCACCCCTTGAAACAAAAGAAAAAGATTGATGTGCTATTTTACTTTTACAATAGAACTTATTTTTAATCAGACAAATTATAATAAGTCACGTATTATTGTATGAAAGTTGAAAAATGAAATTCTTACCAAATAGGTGGTGCAAGCAAAACTTCACCAGGACCCGTAAATGTAGATTGAGACATTTCACCTCCAGTGAACATTTTTTTGAATGAAAACTTAAATTTCCCTTTGAGTGTGATTTCTGGACTCATAGCTACCATCGATCCAGGTTGAGCATAAAATGCAGTATTAGCTGATAATTTTACTGAAAGCAGTGCATTTGTATCACGATGATGTATTTTGTAAGATCCAGCATTAAATTCACCAGTTACATCGGCCAAGCTGCCTAAAGACATTTGTTGAGATGCAGCATTTCCGGAATGTGCAGATGCAGATGCCATTTTGTTTTCTATATTATTTTTTATTCGATCTAGAAGTTTCAGAAAGTTATAAATGCTTTTATATATTTATAAACTCATAGAATGAATCAGATATCTGCGAACGTCACAACTTGACTGCCCCCTCATAAACTGCTCTTGTTAAGCAAATAGACGCAATATAAGAATACATTATGTCTATGGTGACGTCTAAAAGAAAGAATGAATGAAAAAAGAACAGTAAAAATATATGACTCATCGCAAAAAAGGAAGAACTAGTAGGTCTTCGATGCTACCGTAGTAAAGATGAAACGAAAAAGATGTTTGATATGAGCTCTATCTGTTTTCGTTCATCTTTTGACTTTCAGCCCAATAAAGTGCTTATGCCATTGCGAATGGTGTTGGCGAGATGAAAAAGAAAGCAATGATTCATCGTTTCTCTATCAATGACGTCAGCAGTGTTTCTATACATAAACTACTACATTGATATTTTAAAATATAGATGCTATTATAATTTCGTCATGATTTTATTTTTATACCAAGATTATGGTAATAAATATAAAAACAACTATGAGTAGAACTATACATGCTACATTTATACTTCTAGACTTTATTTAGTTTTATATATTGGTGTTTCTGTAGCTGCCATAGTTGTTTCAACCCTAGTAATCGATACCTCTAGAATGGTCATCAATTATTTCATGACAATAGTTGATGTTTCTGATTTTTCTCCTCCACTTGTTAAATTTATTTCTAATGCAACTGTTGTTTCAATAAAAATTTCGAAACGATTGCTGTTGTTACTGTTTGTATGATGGGTACGTCGTATTTTGAATCACTTTTGTTGCTATATAGGTGAATAAATTGAATCCTTCTGTAGGAGTCGATTTGTCAGTAGTATGCATTAGAGTTTCATCATTGATTGTTGCTGTGTTCATGCTGACTATTGTTATTTGTGCAGTTATAATAGGTCTTGTAAAGGTAGTACTTATTTCTGTCATAGTTTTTTTGCAGTCATCTTTATAGATTTAATTATTAGCTCTTCGATGATAATTTCAACTTCTAACTATATTTTGTTAATTCCACTATTAATTTAGTTTTAGATATTTTTTTTGTGATTATTAATAGTTTTGAATTGTTTATTGATGAAATTTTTGTACTCTGGGTGTTCTTATTATGGTTGCTTTGGTTCTCGTAGCTGTACTTTTTATTAATTCAAGGATTGTCGTATCGTAATTACTTTTGTTCATATAGTAGATTTGTGATTGTTTATTGTCAATTGTATAAGAATCGCTGTTACTGTCGTTGCTATTGCTGTTATGTAAAAATCGTATTTCTTCCTATTGTTATTGCTTCAATGATGGAAGTCATTATAGTTGTTATATTTTTGGGATTGATATTGTTAAATCTTTGACGGTTATTTGTATAATATTTATTTTGGTTAATTCTATGATTATTGTCGTTTCAGTAATATAAGCTATTGTTTTTATTATTGCAATTATAGTCCATATGGCTCTAATGATAGCTATGACCATGATAGTCGATGTCTCTAACGATGCAATTAGAAGTCTTATGTTAGATGGTTGTTTTCTATATCAGTCATATTCAAATTATTTGATTATTGTTATTTCAATGGTGGAAATCAATGTTGTAGGTGCTACACGAGAAGTTAATGTTAATGTTGTTTGGAGCATCTTTCATATAGTCAAAGATGGGCTCACATGTATATCATGTAATGATGACTGATGGTTATACACACAAGATTAATGAGTGATTAAACGCATTTTATGCATAATGCGTTCATGACATGACAAAATTATGATAATTCTTCGATGAATTTGAAAGTGATCATGAACTCAATAATAGACAATTCTAAGTAACCATCGTTGAGATATTTTCTGCAATGTTTTTGTCATTTACATATACGTCTTTTAGGTATTATGTTATCAATGATAGCGTATCTGTAGTGCCGAACAAATGTCAATTTTAATAACTACTCCTATTTTGATACTCATAAAAACGATCAAAATATAGTAGATCAGAATATATGTCACCTATACAGATCCTGAATAATTCTTTCTGTTGACCTTCATTTTCTCTATTTTGACGACCTCATTTCAAACATTCCTTTTTTTTTAAATGAAGAATACCGAGTAGTTACACTTATTTTCTAAATTTATATTTTATCACCAACAATATGAACACTCATACATTATACAAGGTAATGTAATTATCAATTTGGATGTCTTATAAAGTTATGCTTTGTCTCTCTAAAAATAGCATGCTGATTCTGTTGTCTAGTATGCATAATAATCACAAGAGCTAAAACGATTCTAGCAATTCAAATATTGGCAATCATTTGAGTGAAATGTAGTGAATATTTTCTTAACTATTTTTGTTTCGTTATTTTTATTTCTAAAAAGGATGGATGATCTTGAAGAAATATAGATTTGCTGTTAAATTAAGTCATAATGTGGTATTAACATCAATTATCTCAAATTTACCGATTAATATAAATTTAAGTGATAAAGTGACTTTTGCTTGTGAATAGAAGAACTCCATTATAATAATGTATATTTTATCTTATGATTTTTGATAGATTTTTTTTTCGTCTTCTTCTCTACTTCTCATTATGTTTCTGGTGATTATTAATATATTTATTATTTAATATTTTTTTTATGGCATTCATATCTAATCCGTTGTATCTTTTTTAATATACATTTATATTATGGAGTTAAATGCAACACTTTTTCATTAGTATTATATTTCTGATCTAACGTACATTATTCATTAAATAAGAAAAAAATAAATAAAAGATTACAAAAATTTTCTTATATATTAAGATAATTAAATGGTTTCTCTTATTATACTTATCATAGGAAAATATAATAATAAAATTGAAAGCGATTTTATAAATATATCAAAAGAACAAATCTGCTATGTTGTTTTCTGTGATTAATTGTTTTTTTTTTGACATATTACTCTTAGTTACTTTTTAAGAAAAAAAAATATAACAAAACTAAAGGAAATTCTCATATCCGATCTTGATGATGTTTAGTTATCGTTCAGTTCTCTTTTATATAACATTCATAAACAATTTAATTGGAAATATCTTGAGAGTAGTCAAATATTTTTTTTTAAATTATGAAATCTGATCAAATCCTGTCTCATTCGTGTAATACTGAAAAGTTAATTTCAATTATTAATGTTCGATTTAAAATACTTGGATATTGAGAAAAGCATTATATCATCGATGTATATATAAACTTGAATATGAAAATTATGTTGCCCATACATTTTGCTTAGTTAAGTAGATATTTTCAATATTATGTGCATATAGAGAATACATTTGAATAGTTACTCTTGTGATATAGACATATGTTTGGATGAATGAAATGTTTAATTATCTTTCATTAATTTGAATTAGATGTGAATAGATTAATGTAAGACTGATTGATTGGGTTTTGAATGAAACAACGAAATTTATATGTGAGAAATTTTTTATTCACTGATCTTTAGACAAGACATAAACAAAATAGAAATATCATGTTATATGACAAACCTACTGGTAGATGTACAAAAAAATTGTAATAATTGTTTCAATGAGTACATTTATTGCTGTCTATTTGAAGACATCTTTGTAGATGACATATGAAATTATAATTATTAACAAAAAATACATAAGAAGTTAAAATAATAAAAGTTTAATTCGTTTCATAAGTACATTTTTATTTTCATTAAGATTTTTAAAAAAATTGTATGAAATTTCTTTTGAATTCAGTAAGTTGTTTCATGCTACATATTAAGAAATATTTCTGTGTTTAGCTCTATTCAACAAAATTAATTGGATGTATCAAATTAGGAATATTCATTTTTTTGTTTAAATGTACAGCTGTAAACTATACAAAACAGTCACATATAGTGTATCACATATAACGATGACTTTATAAATCGAAGAACACGATGTCCGTTTCTTCTTTCACTCTGTATACATATTTCAAACGATTAAAGTAAAATAAATCTTTATTTAATTAAATTCATGTTAATTTGACTATTGTTATTAGTAAATAAAAGATAATATGGTCAGATCAAAAATAGTTTGTCATACTTCTCTTGCTCATTTAACTTTCAAGGATACTTTATAATCATATATCATAAAATGCCTGCGACAGCTGTTTTTTTTCTTGAAGAATAGTTTTTAATTAATTTTCTATGCTAAGTACTTATATTTTATTACTGATTATTAATTGTAAAACTATTGAAAATGTATTTGATACTCAATCCATTATAGTTTGTTTCATTTTTCAGATTATTATAAATTTATTTTATCAAAATCACAATATTTCTTGAGACTGATACTTAGTTGATTAACATTTCGTAAAAATATTTGTTAGATTGAATCAATATAAAAATTTTCTATATTGTAATTAGTTTCATACTTGTAATGTTGGATTTCTTTTCAGAAAAAAAAGGATATTTTCATTAAAATAATCTTTCTTCAATATATCTACTATAGTAGCTAATTAAGTAAGTGGTGTCGTGTAAAGCTTACAAAAGTCTGGAAATTGTTGTCTTGTTTATGTCATCTACATACATATGTTTCACTTTATCAAATCAATATTTCTTTAGATTCGTCTGAGCAAACATTCACATTCTCTTGCAAGTTTATTCTTAATCTAATTGTTATCAATTAAACTTTGTTTTATGCAATATACTAGTATATCATATTGTTATTTTTTATTATAATATCAGTGAACTATTTTGTAAGACTTATTTTTGTTGTGATTATGTCTTTAGCTACGTTTTATGTAAAAAAAATTTGTAATTGTATTTTTATTAACTGTTATAATATGGTTTTAGACAAGTTTTATGGCTTTAATTTTTTAAAATAAGATTAACATGATCATTATCAATAACTTACTTTGACAGAATTTCATTCATTTTACATTTATAATCAAACGATAATTGAATCTAGTTTATCCAAAAATTAGAAAACAAAAACGGTAACAGCACATAATGAAAATTGAAAGAAAACAAAAAAAAAAATAATTGACTAATAATTTGTTAGATTAGTATCAAAAAGTCCTTTGAGCATTTGTTTACGTCTAATTGTTTCAATATAAGAAAGATTTTCAAGAACTTCTGGATGATCGGATGGTAATGTTTTTAATAATTGTTCAATTGATCTTTCTGTTGATGCAATAGCTTCTTCAAATTTTCCTAAACCTGTATATGTTGTTGCAATATTAAAATGTGTAACAGCAATTGTTGGATGATTATCAGGTAAACACATTAATTCAATTTCAAGACTTTTTAAATAACATGGTAATGCATCAGCATATTGTTCTTGTCGATAATACATTGAACCAATATTATTATAAAGTGATGCAAGTGATGGATGTGTTGATGATAAATATTCTTGTTGAATATCTAAAGCACATTTAAAATGAATAAGTGCATCATTATAACGATGCATTTTATTATAAACATTTCCAATACTATTATTAAATGATGCAAGTGCTTGAGGATTACGTGGTTCAATAGATTGTTGAATTTCAAGTGCTTTACAATAATATTTTAAAGCATCATCATATTGATCTTGTAAAATATAAGCATCACCTAAATTATCATATGTTGATGCAAGATCTGGATCATTTAATTCATTTAATTGTTGAAGAATTTTTAAAGCACGATCAAATGATTTAGCTGCATCAATATATTTACGTTGTTTTAAATAGACAACACCAATATTATTTGAATATGAAGCAATAGCTGATAAATTAGGATTATGTGAATGTAATTGTACATCAAGAGCTTTTTGATGATATTCAAGTGCTTTAATATAATCTTCTTGACGAAAATACATTGAACCAATATTATTATATGTTGGTGATAATTGTACAGCATCAGGTGAAACAAATCGTAAAAATGTATCTAATGATAAATGAAATAATTCAATAGCACGTTTATAATCACCACGTGCATGACAACCAGCACCAAGTATATGACATGATGCAGCTATTGAACCTTGAAGATTTGGATCAGATTTTAATGTATCATCATTAAATATCATTTGAACTAAATGTTCAGCACGTGTTTGTTGATTCATTATTATCATTAATTTAATTAAAGAAACAAATGGTGCAGCACCTTTTATTTCATTTCGTTTTATTTCAAGCATTCGTTGTATAGAATGTTCATTTTCACATTTAATTAATGTTAAATATATAGATGCTATACCATTATTATTATTATTAGAATTTTTTTCAATTTTTGTTAAACGTCCAATAATACCCATATTTAATAAAACATCATTATTATCATCAACATTATATCGAAGTGAACATGTATTAGCACATTTCATATTTAATGGTACATTTAAATGAAGTATAACAGATATATATTCATCAGATAATTTTGGAAGATTTTTAGCTATTTGAATAGCTTTTGATAAATCAGTTGAACCAAATAAAAATTGACTAAATACAAGTAAACCATGATTTATTAAACTTTTTTGTAAATCATCTAAATCATTTTGATGTATTGTTTGACCTAAATAAACAATTAAAGATGTATTTGATATTGATTCATTTTCAATTTGATGATATAAATCTTGTATAAATAAACGAAGTTTAAATAAAACATCAGCTTCTGGTATGCGAAGAGCTTTATTTAACATCTAAACAAATTATTTTTTATTTTTTATTTTTATTTTCTATTTTCATTTACTTTTGATAGAAAGCATTGTCTTGTAAACCACCAAATAGCTCGACTTTTATCATAATCATTTTCAAATTCATCAATAATAGATAATTCTTGTTCATTTCCATCATATTCTTGACGTGCAAAATTTATTAATTCTTTCATAGCATATTCAGTTTCATCATTATCAAGTATTATTTCACTTATTAATTGTGAATAAATAAACATTGGATCAGGTGTACTAGAATTTGATGATAAATTCATATAAGCTATTAAATCACGTGTTACTTCATTTATATCAATTGACATTTGTTGATATATATCATTTATATTATTATAAAAACCTTTTATTTTTGTTTTTTGATAATTAAAATTTTGTTTATTTTGATTATTTTCACATAAAATATAAATAGTAAAAATTTGTTGAAGATTTTCAATTCTTGGAAGTATTGAATTAGTAAATATATCTGATAAAATAAATATAATTTTTTCATTTGATATACTATTGATAAAAGCCATACAATCATCAATATCATCAAAAATTTTCAAGAAATTTACAAGACTACGAAGTTTTTTTATTATAGAATCATCAGGATATGTTGAATTTAAATAAACAAGAATAAAATATTCAACATTTCCTTTTTGTCGAGGAGCATTACCAATTGATGCTTCATTATGTTCGACTTGTTGTTCTATATTCAATAAAGAAAAATAATAAGACAATAAAAATATATTTCATATCTATAGTTCATGTCAATTGATATATCTTCTATCAACTAATTAAGTTTATTATAAAGACAAGTTCATCTAGTTTACTTAAACAGGAAATATATCCAAGTGACACTTGTTAATTGACCTCATTTTTTCTATTCTAGATTGCCAATATTAAGACTAATATACTTGAATAGTAAATAGAATGAATAGATTATTATTCTAGAGTTAACGCTATTTTAATGAGATTTTTTTCTATGGAAAATTACTTGCTAAAAAAGCTATGAAACTTTTGTTGATACATAGAAACAATCAGTATTAGATCATTCTCTCTTTAACCGATCATTAAGAATGAATTCACTTCTCTTGAAATATTGAGTGAAGAAGAAAATTCGATGACAAATCACAAGAAAAACATATCTATTCTTAATGAAAGGTTTTAGAACATTCTTCTATTCGATATATTCATGAGGAAAGTTTCACATTTTTGGCAAATCTCTGTCTATAAACTCAAAATTTAATAGAATGATATTTTTTTTTTTGTTGCAAACACTAAATAGACGGACGATTATAGAAGTCTATTAACTTCGAAGTTTACTAATTATAATATAAATATGAATTCAATCTGTTGGCATCATCTGGATATATATTCTCATCAGGTAGGATTTATTTCAATTGTTTTACAAAATATTAATCTAAAAAAAAGATTCAATAACATTTAGAAAGAAAAACATTCAAAAAAAATGATGTTCTCATAGTATCAAAAACTCTACTATACTAATATGATAGGATTTTAGTCGATTTTCTTTCAAGATTTGTTTATTTTCATAAAAACAAGATGAAATTTTCAAAATAGACTAAGAACTACAAATTTCATATATAGATCAACTCTAGATTCAAATACCAAAAATTCGATTTTTCTCTGATTCTTTTTGCTTATATTAATTCATTAAAATCTATTTTTATTGATAAAATTAGATTAAGATAGTTTAGATGAATATAAAATATTAAACTTACGTCTAATAATGCCAAGTCGTGTAAGTAATAATTGAGTTCCATCATTAACAGTTGATAAATCACGATTAGAACTAATACTTATAGATGGCATTTGTTGAAGTCTTTGTTCATTTTGAGTATTTTCAACGTTTGATGACATTGATCGAAGAAATTGAACAAATTCATTTGTTTGACTATTTTCATTATCTGAATCAGTATGAGAATCTAAATAAAATAATAAATTTTTTTGTCTAAATTCTTTTCATCAAATAAATAATATATATTTTAAAACCTTTTTGTTCTTGGATATTTAATGATTCAGATTTTTGACTTTTTAAATTTTCAATTGTTTCTTCATGAGTATCAAATTGTATTTCAAATGGTGAATCAAGTATATCACTAACAGATAACATTGTTGATAATTGAGGAGGACCTAACAATATCAATATATATATTAAAATTTTTAATCGAAAAAAATAAAAGTCATTTTAATAAAACCATGAATTCGTTTGGGTGGTGCTGTGGGTGGTGGTGGTGTTGGTGTTGGTAGTAATAATTCTTGATCAGTAGATGATGAAATTCGTATGAAATTTCTTGAATTTTGTTCAATTTGTTGTCGTTGTTGTTTATTTTTTGATTGAATAGATGTTAATGGTTGAGAATTAGGATATTCAAAAATATCAGCTGAAAAACCTTCACTTGCTAAATAAAAAAATTGTTGTAAATTTTCAAAGTTATGTATTTATTTTATTTGTTATAAATAAAATATACAAGCTTTTTCAGGATCTGACTGTAGAACAGAAAGTGTTGTTGGTCTTTTTTTCTAATAAAAATAATAATATTTAATTAAATGTATATATATATATTAATAGAAATAAAAATCTACTGCTGATAATTGATAATTATTTTGATTAGTTGATATTGTTTCGGTTCTTAATTTTCGATCTAGTTTTTTTAATTTTAAATCTCAATTTAATATTTATAATAAAACGAAATAGAAATACTTTCACTTGTTCGTCCTCGATTATTTAATGATACTGGTGGTTTAGATTTTTGAGAATGGTTTGTAGTCTAATTTTAAAAATGAAGTTTTTTTTTTGTTTTTTCTTAATAAATAAAATCTAACATGTATAGATGATCGTTGTCTTGTTGTTGATGATATTTGTCTTTGTTCATTATTTGTTATGGTTGATGATCTTTTATGTCGTGAAACTAAAAAAAAAAGTTAGTATTGATGCAAAATGATAATAATAAACAATGTTATTACTTGGAGGGGATGGGGATGGACTTGGTGAGCTCTAAATTGAATTAAATTATTAAAACTAAAGATCAACAAAAAGAAAATAATAATAATACAAACTGTAGAACTTTCTAATTGACATCTAAATAATTAAAAATTAAATAATAATTAAAAAAAAAAAAAACAAAAAGTAACTTTAATTTACTGTTGACAAGATTTTGATCCAACAATATGATCAATTTGAAAAAAATGATTTTCATCTCTTTTAATTAATGCATGTTCACAACAAGCTATTATTCGATCTTCAAGTATATCATTTATATAAAAATCTAATTTTATTCTTGGATTATCTCTATAACGTTTTGATTTAAATGTTAATTGATCTTAAATAAATTTATTTGAAATTAAATTAAATATAAAATCATTAAAATTTACCTCCACATGTTAAACAACCTTTAAAAACAGTTCTACCATTTTGAACAATCATTATCTCATCACCATGTCTACTTGCCGCTGAACTACGATAAGTTAATGTAACTAAAGAACATTCACTTGAGTCACTCTATTTAAATTAAATAAAAGTAAATATTTTATAGATTTATAAAATAAAACGATGACAGACTCGATGATGATGATGAGGGCGAGAGTGACGATATTGAGAAACACTACCACTTCTATATCTTGGCTATAGAAAAAAATTAAAAAAAAAAAGAACAATATTCGACAGAAAAAAAATCTCTTTACTGGTTCTTCATAGATATCATCTGAATCATATCGATGACGACTATCTCTATAATCACTTGTTTGAGAATGTGATCGACCTTGTCGTCGCCTGTCCGAACTCTAATTTAAGATAAAATCATTAATAAATTTAAATACTTAATTAAATTTATTTTATAAAAATAAAATTGTTAAATTATAAAATATTTAAATAATTAACCTGAATATCATGCATTATTGATTGATATTCTCGTCGAAGATCGTTTTCATGTTGTCTTTCAAGATCCATTGTTCTTTAATAAAAATATATTTAATTTTTAATTTAATTTAATCCAATAACTCACTGTTCTAGTAATCGTTGATTAATTAAGTCTTTTGCCAATCGAAGTCTTTCACGTCTTAGTAAATAATCCATCACTTTTATGATTTAACTACGTCTATAATTCTATATAATTTTAAATAAGTCTTTTCATTTATTTATATTCATCATAAATCATAATAATATCTGATTTTGAACTAAAAAAAGAAAAACAATAAAGAAAAGGAAGAACTTCATCAGTTGATCTTTATAAAGACAGTAACACTCAACATAATTTTTTCTTTACAAATGTGCACGTTGTCTTACACTATTACAAACTACTTATTATTCACCAAACAACGTTAAAAAAACAAAAAATGAAGACAGAACGCAAAAAAAAAAAAAAAAAAAAAAAAAAAAAACAAAATAAAAATGAAGGTTCTTTTTCCTTTATGAAGCAAATACCTTTAAAGTTACACACTTATACTTGTCTCTTTTATCGATTGTAGTTATTATGATGTAGAAAATAGCAGAGACAAGATGTGCTATCAGAATGTCCTTCAGGTATCATTGTGTATATAATAAACTTGAAAGAAAAAAATTATTCATTGACATTAACTAAACAATAATATGATTTTCATAATGATAAAATCATTATTTTATTTTTCTAGTCGCGTTTGATTTACGATATTGATAAATTAAAATACAATACATTATTCATGTTTACTATCATAGATATGAAAAATCAATAGTGATAGTTTAGTTCATAAAATTTTCTTCTATTCAGAATATTTTCATTATAAACATTCGATTTAGATAATATAAATATATATTCTTAAAAAAATATTATTATTCTATCAATTAGTTTTCATTACGTAGAACAAGGTTATATTTGACGAAACGTCTATTAACTATTCAAGTACTTCATCATATTCGTACAGTCGCTCAATTTATTAGGTTTTTGTAATAAATAAAGTAATAAAAGATTTTTTTTTCATTCAATTTGAAAAATTTTCCAAATAATGCAAATCTTATTTATGCCATATGAGATATAAGAACAAAAATTTCGTACAGATTTAGTCCGAGAAATATAACGTTGGAGAAGAGAAACTGTCATAATATTTTTTGTAGGATGTGAAATTGTTTTTGTTGAGGAGACCGCCCAAAAAATTTTCGACTCTTCTGGAGAAAAAAAACAGTAAAAAATTTTCTTTATTGAATGTGTCACATCTCCGACGTTCCTTCAATTGACCCATTTTTGATTTCACATTCGACTTCAGTTGTAAATAAGTGATAATTTATTGAAAGACTATTCGAATAAAAAAAACTAAGATTGTTTTGTTTTGTTTTTTTTTTCTGTCAAATAAATGAAGATTTTCATTTTTTTTTCGTTCGATTATTTGTTATTCTTTTGATAAAGAAAAATAAAATGAAATATACTTGATAAATGTCAATATTATTTGTCAAAACTTTATCTTATTCAATATTCATTTCAATAATATTAGGATATGTTTCGCAGAAAAGTTCTCGTTCTTTTTTTTTCAAAATCATTATGATTCATCTTAGTTTTGGTAAATAATCCTATGATTGTTATTTTTAATAATTTCTTTGTGAAAAAGAATATTATATTTTTGAATTATTCGACAGAACAAAAAACGAATCAGAGCAATTACAAAAGACAAAAACGAGGAAAACAATAAAAGTAGATTACTGTGAAAATACTCTTAGCAAAATTACATAACAATAGTTTCTCTTGATGAATTCAATTCTAATTGAATTATTGTTCTATATTTATCATAAGACGCCACCTGTATTCACAAATATATGCTTGACAACGACGACTACAGCAATAAAGTATGAGCGTGTTTTTGCTGTTCTTGCTTCATTCACTATCTTATTTCATGTGGTTGTTATTTTTATGAAATACATCATAGCCAAGACAAACAAGAAGAAAAAAAAAAAAGGGGTAGTCCTTCAATATTCAAAAGCCTAAACTAATCGGATACTAAACAAATTCAATTGCTATGTCTCAACAAATATCTCGATGTGAACAATGTCAACAGCAATATACATTATTTCGACGAAAAGTAAGTAAATACTATCGAATTTAAATGAAATACTAATCATCGAGTAACAATAGTCTTAGTAGAGATAAGATATAATGTACTTTTATTGAATAAGGAGAAAAACAAAAAACAAATGTTTCTATATCGAATAATTATTTTGTTTTTTTTTTTTTTGTAAAATAAATTTGATTGATTTTAAAATTATTTTAGAAACAATGTAATTTATGTGGACAAATATTTTGTTCAAAATGTGTTCAAAAACCAACAAATTTAATGGCATTGAATAATTCACGTATATGTACAATTTGTTTATTAATTATAAATGAACGCACAACTTATGATCAATTAGCATCAATTCGTATAAAACATCTTCGTGCTTATCTTATTCATTCAAAAAAAGTATCTTTAAATCGTCTTGAATCATGTTTTGAAAAACAAGATTTAATTAATTTAATTCAATCAGAAAAAAGTCCAATATCAGAAGAAAGTTATGTTTTTGTTGAACGATCTTCAACAACAAATAATAATAATCATCAACAAGTTCAACAATCAACAGTAAATACAGATGAAGAGGTAAAAAAAAAACAAATAAACAGATCTTTTCTTTTGTTTTGTCAAAAATTAGATTTAATTAAATTAAAATATCTTCTTTTAGAATATTTATTAGATTTATTCGTTCAATTTTATCTTTTTTAGTAATTTTTTTTTGCTTTCTGAAGGACAAAATTATTGATGCATAACTTGACTCAAAAAACGACATGTTTTTATTGCGTATATAGAAAATCTTTTTTCCGAATTTTAAAATAATGAATTCGAAATGAAATAGTTATCAATCTTCTGTATAAACATCAAATATATAATAAAAAATCTTCTTAATAATAGATAGATCGTCTTCAATGATAGACTATTAGAGTAAAGAAGTGTTCTATTTTTTTTTTATTTATTATCGACTCTTATTGATTTTCTTTTTTTTTTTAACCTCAGGGTTTGCTATCCACATGTCACATTGATTTATGTTACTGTAAGTTTCAAAAAACTCTAAATGATTTACTTTAATTTTTGTCTACAATCACAAAATTCTTCTTCAATTTATTCTTTTGTCTAATAATCACATGAGAAATTTCATTTGTCTATCAATATATATGAAATTCACAACAAGAATTTAGAATGTTATGAATCATTGTAAAACGATTGTCTACATTCCAAGACTCAAAAGATAGTTAATTTCATCCTTGATAAATTTTATTTATAAGATTTTCTTTTTTTCTTTTTAAATTTTTTATTCTCGATATATAATAAGAAATGAATTGACTATATGATCAACATTGTTTTGATTATTGATTTGATCAAATAAAATATTATAGATATATAGATGATTAATTATTAATTTAATTCTAACTGTCAATTGATTTCATAATCATTGAATATAACTCTTTCGATACAATAATTTATTAAAATAATAATGAAAATTAATAGTTCTTTTCGTGATTCTATTTTAATTACTTATCAAAATGACGTAAAAATGAGAATATAACAATGCACTTAACTAAAGATACGATCGACTAGTTTGTAAAGTTGAATAATCCTTTTTTGTTTCGTATGAGTTTTTCATGCAAATCTTAATTTTATTTATTATTTATTTTCGAATTTGTTACTAGATATTATCATCTAATGTTGTCAATTCTTCATTTCCAACAAATGAAACAGAAACGGAAACTCCTATTGAAACTTCATCAGTAAATATTAATTCTTCACTTCCAACAAATGAATCAGAAATAGAAACTTCTATTGAACCAACATCATTAATAAATTCTAATTCTTCAATTTCAACAAATGAATCAGAAATAAAAACTTCAATTGAAATATCTTCTTCAAAGACAAATTCTAATCGTATAGCTCTTAATGATATTTCATCATTAGAATCAATACATAATTTAACAATTCGACAATTAAAAGATATTTTAAAACAAAATTTTGTATCTATGACAGGATGTGTTGAAAAAAAAGAATTAATTAATAAAGTTGAATTACTTTTTCAAGATTATCAAAAACAAAAACAATTAAATACAAATAGTAAAATTATTTATTATATTCTACAATTAAATATTCATTTGTTAATTTTTCTTTTTATAAGTTACTAATGAACAATCAGATGAAGATTTATGCAAAGTATGTATGGATGCAAAGATTGACTGTGTCTTTCTTGATTGTGGTCATTTATGTACATGTATACGATGTGGTAAACAATTATCTGAATGTCCATTATGTCGATGTTATATTATACGTGTCGTACGTGTTTTCAAAAGTTAAAAAAAATTTATATTATTTATATGGATTTAATACATAGATATATGTCTAAATTTTCTCGATTGTCTATATTCTCTATTATATAAAAAGAACACAAATTTTTCATCATTTGATTTTCTACTGGATGAAAGAAAAAGAAAAAAAAACGTTTAAGCATGTTTTTATTCATAATTTATTATTTCTTAAAAGTAATAAATAATTTATATTAATATTCATAGATTTATTATAAATAATTACATGTTACTTATAAAAATTTCTTATAGTCAAATCATATAACATTTATAGAGTTATATCTAGACAAAATATCAAACGAAGATATACGATTGAAAAAGAAGAAAACTTTTTCTCTTTGAAAAATCTATGAGACTTTTATTTCAAACTAACTTAACTTTGTTTCATCTAATAGTAAATTGTAATGTCCTGACAAAATATGTAGACAACATTCGTTTTTGAATGACTTTGTCATTGGAATACTTTCTTGACAGATTCTATGATCTTTATCTAACTGTTTATATAGTGGAATAGACGGATCAAACTAAAAAAAAAATATTCAAATTTTGATCAAAAAATTTACAAAATAGAAATTTCAACAGAAACATGGATATTGTCGATGAGATCTATCTGTTCAGTTTTCTGTATTGTTATTCACAATAAACGATCTTATAGAATACTTCTGTCGAAATATATTTCTATCTATGCTTTTCGTTTATATATATCATATTCATTGAATTGATTGTAAGATTT